TGGGGGAGCACCCATGAACCCACCCAATGGAAAATGGGGGGGGGGAGCACCCATGAACCCACCCAATGGAAAATGGGGGGGGGGCAGCACCCATGAATCCACCCAATGGAAATGGGGGGGGGAGCACCCATAGACCCACCCAATGGAAAATGGGGGGGGGCAGCACCCATGGGACCCACCCAATGGAAAATGGGGGGGGGAGCACCCATGAACCCACCCAATGGAAAATGGGGGGGGAGCACCCATAGACCCACCCAAATGGAAAATGGGGGGGGGCAGCACCCATGAACCCACCCAATGGAAAATGGGGGGGAGGCACCCATAGACCCACCCAATGGAAAATGGGGGGGGGCAGCACCCATGGACCCACCCAATGGAAAATGGGGGGGGGAGCACCCATGAACCCACCCAATGGAAAATGGGGGGGGGAGCACCCATAGACCCACCCAATGGAAAATGGGGGGGGGCAGCACCCATGAACCCACCCAATGGAAAATGGGGGGGGAGCACCCATGAACCCACCCAATGGAAAATGGGGGGGGGCAGCACCCATGAATCCACCCAATGGAAAATGGGGGGGGGAGCACCCATAGACCCACCCAATGGAAAATGGGGGGGGGGGGGCAGCACCCATGAACCCACCCAATGGAAAATGGGGGGGGGCAGCACCCATGGACCCATCCAATGCAAAATGGGGAAGGGGGTTCGGGGGGTGTCAATGGGTGCTCGGGGGGGGGGAGTAGCACCCATAGACCCACCCAATGCAAAATGGGGGGGGGGGGGGGCTCTCACCATCCTCTTCCTCCCGGTGATTGGCCAGGGGCAGGGTGTAAAACGGACCTGGTGAGGGCTTGGGGCCCCCCCCTCGTCCCGGGCCCCCCCAGCTCGGGGCTCAGGGCCCCCCCCCGGCTGCCGTTGGCCGGGACGTGGCAGTAGCGGCCGGTGAAGTGGGGGGGGCAGAGGCAGGAGCCGGGGCGCGCGCAGACCCCCCCGTTCTGGCACAGCAGCGGGCACAGCACTGCGGGGGGGGGCACTCGGATGTCAGACCCCCCCATACACCCCAATGTCAGCCCCCCCCATACACCCCAATGTCAGACCCCCCCATACACCCCAATGTCAACCCCCCCATACACCCCAATGTCAGACCCCCCCATACACCTCAATGGACCCCCAATACACCCCAATACATCCCAATGTCAGCCCCCCCCCCAACGCAACTCCAATACACCTCAATGGACCCAAATACATCCCAATGCACCCCAATATCAGCCCCCCAAATGCATCCCAATGTCAACCCCCCAATGCACCTCAATGGACCCCAATCCCCAATGCACCCCAATACACCACCAATGCATCCCAATGCACCCCAGTGTTAGCCCCCCAATGCATCCCAATGTCAGCCCACCAACGAACCCCAATGCATCCCAATGTCAGCCCCCCAATGAACCCCAATGCATCCCAATGTCAGCCCCCCCAGTGAACCCCAATGCATCCCAATGTCAGCCCCCCCAGTGAACCCCAATGCATCCCAATGTCAGCCCACCAACGAACCCCAATGCATCCCAATGTCAGCCCACCAACGAACCCCAATGCATCCCAATGTCAGCCCCCCCAATGAACCCAATGCATCCCAATGTCAGCACCCCAATGAACCCCAATGCATCCCAATGTCAGCCCCCCCAGTGAACCCCAATGCATCCCAATGTCAGCCCCCCCAATGAACCCCAATGCATCCCAATGTCAGCCCACCAACGAACCCCAATGCATCCCAATGTCAGCCCCCCCCAATGAACCCCAATGCATCCCAATGTCAGCCCACCAACGAACCCCAATGCCTCCCAATGTCAGCCCCCCCAGTGAACCCCAATGCATCCCAATGTCAGCCCACCAACGAACCCCAATGCATCCCAATGTCAGACCCCCCAGTGAACCCCATTGCTCCCAAGTCAGCCCACCAACGAACCCCCAATGCATCCCAATGTCAGCCCCCCCAATGAACCCCAATGCATCCCAATGTCAGCCCCCCCAATGAACCCCAATGCATCCCAATGTCAGCCCCCCCAGTGAACCCCAATGCATCCCAATGTCAGCCCCCCCAATGAACCCCAAGGCATCCCAATGTCAGCCCACCAACGAACCCCAATGCATCCCAATGTCAGCCCCCCCAATGAACCCCAATGCATCCCAATGTCACCCCCCCCAATGAACCCCAATGCATCCCAATGTCAGCCCACCAACGAACCCCAATGCATCCCAATGTCAGCCCACCAACGAACCCCAATGCATCCCCATGTCAGCCCCCCCAGTGAACCCCAATGCATCCCAATGTCAGCCCACCAACGAACCCCAATGCATCCCAATGTCAGCCCCCCTGAACCCAATGGGCATCCCAATGTCAGCCCACCAACGAACCCCAATGCATCCCAATGTCAGCCCCCCAATGAACCCCAATGCATCCCAATGTCAGCCCCCCAATGAACCCCAATGCATCCCAATGTCAGCCCCCCAGTGAACCCCAATGCATCCCAATGTCAGCCCACCAACGAACCCCAATGCATCCCAATGTCAGCCCACCAACGAACCCCAATGCATCCCAATGCACCCCAATATCGGACCCCAAATGCACTCAATGCACCCCAATACACCCCAATGCACCCAATGCGACCCCAGCATGCGGGGATGCCCCATATGGGGTGCCCCATGCCCTGGGGGGGGGGGACCCGATCCCGTTGCCCCTCCCGGCCCCCCCCCACCCCCGCCGCTGGTGCCGGGTCCCGGCGGGACGCGATGACGTCATGGCGCTGCGTGGGTGGGACGGGACCCGCCCCCCCCCAACTTCCCCCCCCCCCCCGGCACCCATCGATCCCCCCCCCCCCCCCCCAACCTCCGGTTTGGGATGGGCGGGGGACGGGGGGGGGGAACGGACACGGAGACAGCCCCGGAACCGGGGGGGGGACCGGACCCCTCCGTTACCGGACACCCCAAGTGGGTTCCGAGCACCCCACCGGTACCGGACACCCCCATCGGGACCGGACCCCGCCGTTACCGGACACCCCAAGTGGGTTCCGAGCACCCCACCGGTACCGGACACCCCCATCGGGACCGGACCCCTCCGTTACCGGACACCCCAAGCGGGTTCCGAGCACCCCATCGGTACCGGACACCCCCATCGGGTCCGGACCCCTCCGTTACCGGACACCCCAAGCGGGTACCGAACCCCATCGGTACCGGATACCCTCGATCGGGATCGGACCCTTCCGTTACCGGACACCCCCATCGGTACCGGACCCTTCTTTTACCGGACACCCCTGGTTAGGACCCGACCCTCCCGTTACCAAACACCCCCATCGGGTACCGAACCCCATCAGTACCGGATACCTCGATCGGGACCGACCCCTCCCGTTACCGGACACCCCCAGTTGGGACCGGACCCTTCCGTTACCGGACACCCCAATCGGGTTCCGAACTCCATCGGTACCGGATACTCCAATTGAGACCCGACCTTTCCATTACCGGACATCCCATCGGTACCGGACACCCCAATTGGGACCGGACCCTCCCGTTACCGGACATCCCCATCGGGACCGGACCCTTCTGTTACCGGACACCCCAAGCGGGTACCGAACCCCATCAGTACCGGGTACCTCCATCAGTACCGGATACCCCGATCGGGACCGGACCCCTCCATTACCGGACACCCCAAGCGGGTTCCGAACCCCATCAGTTCCGGATACCCCGGTCGGGACCGACCCCTCCCGTTACCGGACACCCCCGATCGGGACCGGACCCCTCCCGTTACCGGACACCCCCATCGGGCACCGAACCCCATCAGTACCGGGTACCCCCATCAGTACCGGATACCCCGGTCGGGACCGGACCCCTCCCGTTACCGGACACCCCAAGCGGGCTCCGAACCCCATCAGTACCGGATACCCCGGTCGGGACCGACCCCTCCCGTTACCGGACCCCCCCCCCCGGCACTGACCGAGGCGGAAGCCGCTGCCCGCGGGGGGGGGGACCCCGCTCTCCACCGCCTCCGGGTCCCCGTTGGGGCACTCCCGGGCGCAGCCGCCGCTGCCGCTGCACCGGAGGCGGCAACGGGGGGGGGTGAAGAGGAGGCGGAGGCGCCCCCCCCCCGGGGGACCCCCCCCCCCCGCATCCTCCGGTACCGGCTCCGAGAGCGCAAGCGCGGCCGCCGCCAGCAGCAGCGCGGGCCCCATCACCGCGTCCAGCCCCGCAATGGGGGGGGGGACGGGGGGGGAACGGGAGGGGGGGGATGGGGGGGGGACGGGACGGGATATGGGGGGGGAGGGGGTGGGACCAAACGGGGGAGGGGCAGAGCAGCGGCCGCCCCCCCCCATAGAGGGACATTGCGGGGGGGGGGGGGGGGGTGTCCATGGGACATCGGGGGGGGGTGTTTGTGTCCCCCCCCCCTTTATGGGCCCCTCTGTGTGTGCCCCCCCCCACCCCAATGGTGACGTCACGCGGCCGATGGGTGCTCTCATGGGGGAGGGGGGAGAACGGGACATTGGGGGGGGGTTGGGACCGAACAGCGGCCGCCCCCCCCCACCCATAGAGGGATATGGGGGGGGTGGGGGCCCTGTGTGCCCCACCCCCCCTCTATGGGCCCCTCTGTGTGCGACCCCCCCCCCAATGCTGACGTCACGCGGCCGTTGGGTGCTCTCATGGGGGGGCGGGGGGGGGGGGCCCCTTTTGGGGCCGCAGCCACGAGGCCGCGGGGATGGGCGTTGGGTGCCCCCCCCTCCCCCCCCCCGCGGTGACGTCACCGGGAAAGCTCGCGCCTGGCCTCGCGCTGAACCGGCCCCGCCCCCCCCCCATTGTCTTAAAGGGGGGGGGGGACCAGGAAGAGCCCCCCCCAATGTAGGGGTGCAATGGGGGGGGAACCCCAGGATGCTGCTTGAGGAGGGGGGGCCCCATAGACCACAGTGCACAAAGCAGAGGGGAAAAGGGGGTGTATTGGGGGGGCACCCCCAAACCTCTCCCTGAGTGGGGGGGGGGCCAATAAAGGCACAAAGTGAATGGGGGGGGGGGCCGGCCCCCCCTCCCCCCCCTCAAAACGCCGTCTCATTGAGCCTCCCTTTGGGGGGCACCGAGGGGGCAGCGGGGGGGGGCAGAGCCCAGGGGGGGGCAGAGCCCGGGGGGGGGCGGGGGGGGTGGAGGAGGAGGTGGGGGGGGCTCTGCGGGGAGGGGGAGGGGGCCGGGGGGTTTTGGCTTTGGCCCCCCCACCCCCCCCCCGAGGGGCTCCTTCTGCCCCCCCCAAGCGTGGGGCTGGGGGGGGGGGGAGGAGGAGCCGGCGGTGCTGGGGGGGGTCGGGGGGGGCGATGGAGACGGCGTCGCTGTGGGGATGGGCCGGGGGCTGCGGAGAGAGGGGGTGAATGGGGGGGGAAGCAAAGGGGGGGGGGAAGAGGGGGTAAAGGGAGGTAAAAGGAGGGGGTAAAGGGGTAAAAAGAGAGGTAAAAGGGGGTAAAGTGGGGGAATAGGGATGGAAGGGGGGGGTAAAAGGGCTAAAGGGGGGTAATAGGGAGGTAAAGGGGGTAAAAGGGGATAAAGGGGGTAAAAAGGGGGGTAAAGGTGGGTAAATGGGGGTAAGGGGGGGTTATAGGGATGTAAGGGGGGTAAAAAGAGGATAAACAGGGCAAAAAGGGGGGTAATGGGGGGGCAATAGGGATGTAAGGGGGTAACAGTGACGTAAGGGGGTAATAGGGATGTAAGGGGGGGTAATAGGGATGTAAGGGGGGGTAACAGGGATGTAAGGGGGGTAAAGGAGGGGTAATAGGGATGTAAGGGGGGTAAAGGAGGAGTAACAGGGATGTAAGGGGGTAAAGGGGTGCAATAGGGATGTAAGGGGGGGTAATAGGGATGTAAGGGGGGTAAAGGAGGGGTAATAGGGATGTAAGGGGGGGGCAATAGGGATGTAAGGGGGGGGTAACAGGGATGCAAGGGGGGTAAAGGAGGGGTAACAGGGATGTAAGGGGGGTAAAGGAGGGGTAATAGGGATGTAAGAGGGGGTAATAGGGATGTAAGGGGGGTAAAGGAGGAGTAACAGGGATGTAAGGGGGGTAAAGGGGGGTAATAGGGATGTAAGGGGGGGCAATAGGGATATAAAGGGGGGGTAACAGGGATGCAAGGGGGGGTCCCTGCCCTACCCGTGTGCGCGGGGGGGCCCGGGCAGCGCCAGGTCGCACTGGTCCAGCTGCCGCAGCAGCTCCTCCTCACTCAAGCCCTCAGCATCTGCAGGGGCATCAATGGGACACGGTGAGGTTTGGGGGTGGGGGTCCCACCAAAAGACACCCCCCCCCCTTCCCCCATGTACCGGGGGGCTTGGCCGCCCTGTCCATGGCCGTGGTGAGGTCCCAGAGCTGGAGGCTGCCGTTGGCGTGGCCGGTGGCCAGGAGCCGGCGCGGGCGGGAGCCGATGCGGCTCGAGCCCTCGCACTCGTGCACCGTGAAGGCGGTGATGGAGGCGGCGTCCACGGCGCGCACCTCCCCGATCCTGGGGGGCACGCACGCCCCACAGCGCCCCATTGGCACCCACAGCGCCCCGCTGGCACCCAGAGCATCCCCGTGGTACCCAGAGCATCCCCGTGGTACCCACAGCATCCCATTGGCACCCATAGCACCCTTGTGGTACCCATAGTACCCCATTGGCACCCACAGCGCCCCGTTGGAACCCAGAGCATCCCCATCGGCACCCAGAGCATCCCCGTGGTACCCACAGCATCCCATTGGCACCCATAGCACCCTTGTGGTACCCATTGTGCCCCATTGGCACCCACAGTGCCCCGTTGGAACCCAGAGCATCCCATCGGCACCCAGAGCATCCCCGTGGTACCCCATCCCATTGGCACCCATAGCACCCTTGTGGTACCCATAGTGCCCCATTGGCACCCACAGCACACCCTTGGCACCCACAGCATCCCCTTGATATGCATAGCACCCCAGTGGCACCCATAGCATCCCTTGGCACCCACAGCATCCCCTTTGTACCCATTCCACCGCACTGGCACCCATAGCATGCCTGTGGTACCCACAGCATCCCCTCGGTACCCATAGAACCTCACTGGCACCCAAAGCATCCCTATGGTACCCATAGCACCCCCGTGGTACCCACAGCATCCCACTGGCACCCACAGAGCCCCATTGGTACCCACAGCATCCCTGTGGCACCCACAGCACCCCCGTGGTACCCATAGCATCCCACTGGCACCCACAGAGCCCCATTGGTACCCACAGCATCCCACTGGCACCCATAGCACCCCCGTGGTACCCATAGCATCCCACTGGCACCCACAGAGCCCCATTGGTACCCACAGCATCCCACTGGCACCCATAGCACCCCCGTGGTACCCATAGCATCCCACTGGCACCCACAGAGCCCCACTGGTACCCACAGCACCCCCGTTGCCACAGGGCATCGCCCCGCTCTCACTTCTTGCCGGTGGAGGAGAGGCGGATGAAGACCTGGCACGCGTCCGGCACCACGCGCTGGATGAAGACCTGCTGCTCGTCGCGCTCCCCGAAGGGCCCTAGGGCACAGCGCGGGTCCATGCGGGCGCTCAGCACCCCTGGGAGCAGGCGGCGGTGACCCAGGGCGGGCTCTGACCGATGTCGGTGCCGGCGCCGGCGGCATCGTCCAGCGCCAGGACCTTGAAGGACGCCAAGGGCGTGGAGCCGGGCTGCGTGGAGATCATCCCGCGGAAGCGCGTCACCGTCCAGCTCCGAACGTGGTTGTTGTCGGCGCAGACTGGGGGCGAGGGGAGGGACGGCGTTAGGGGGGATGGAGCGCGGGATGCGGGGTGGAGCGCGGGATGGGGGGTGGAGGTGTGATGGATCATGGGAGGGATGACGGATGGGTGATGGAGGGGTGATGGATCATGGGAGGGATGACGGATGGGTGATGGAGGGGTGATGGATCATGGGAGGGATGACGGAGGGGTGATGGAGGGGTGATGGATGGGTGATGGATCATGGGAGGGATGATGGAGGGGTGATGGAGGGGTGATGGATGGGTGATGGATCATGGGAGGGATGACGGATGGGTGATGGAGGGGTGATGGATCATGGGAGGGATGACGGATGGGTGATGGAGGGGTGATGGATCATGGGATGGGTGATGGATGGGTGATGGATCATGGGAGGGATGATGGAGGGGTGATGGAGGGGTGATGGATCATGGGAGGGATGATGGATTGGTGATGGATCATGGGATGGATGATGGATGGATGATGGGAGGGGGTGATGGAGGGTGATGGATCATGGGAGGGATGACGGATGGGTGATGGAGGGGTGATGGATCATGGGAGGGATGATGGAGGGGTGATGGATCATGGGAGGGATGATGGAGGGGGTGATGGATCATGGGAGGGATGATGGAGGGGTGATGGATCATGGGAGGGATGATGGAGGGGTGATGGATCATGGGGAGGGATGACGGAGGGGTGATGGAGGGGTGATGGATCATGGGAGGGATGATGGAGGGGTGATGGAATCATGGGAGGGATGATGGAGGGGTGAATGGAGGGGTGATGGATTCATGGGAGGGATGATGGAGGGGTGATGGATCATGGGAGGGATGACAGATGGGTGATGGAGGGGTGATGGATCATGGGAGGGATGAAGGATGGGTGATGGAGGGGTGATGGATCATGGGATGGATGATGGAGGGGTGATGGATCATGGGAGGGATGATGGAGGGGTGATGGAGGGGTGATGGATCATGGGAGGGATGATGGAGGGGTGATGGATCATGGGAGGGATGATGGAGGGGTGATGGAGGGGTGATGGATCATGGGGAGGGGATGATGGAGGGGTGATGGAGGGGTGATGGATCATGGGAGGGATGACGGATGGGTGATGGAGGGGTGATTGATCATGGGAGGGATGATGGAGGGGTGATGGATCATGGGAGGGATGACGGATGGGTGATGGAGGGGTGATGGATCATGGGAGGGATGATGGAGGGGTGATGGATCATGGGATGGATGATGGAGGGGTGATGGAGGGGTGATGGATCATGGGAGGGATGATGGAGGGGTGATGGAGGGGTGATGGATCATGGGAGGGATGATGGAAGGGTGATGGAGGGGTGATGGATCATGGGAGGGATGATGGAGGGGTGATGGAGGGGTGATGGATTCATGGGAGGGATGATGGGAGGGGTGATGGAGGGGTGATGGATCATGGGAGGGATGATGGAGGGGTGATGGATCATGGGAGGGATGATGGATGGGTGATGGAGGGGTGATGGATGGGTGATGGATCATGGGATGGGTGATGGATCATGGGAGGGATGATGGAGGGGTGATGGATCATGGGAGGGATGATGGATGGGTGATGGAGGGGTGATGGATGGGTGATGGAGGGGTGATGGATGGGTGATGGATCATGGGAGGGATGATGGATGGGTGATGGATGGGTGATGGATCATGGGATGGATGATGGAGGGGTGATGGAGGGATGGATGGATGATGGATGGGTGATCAATGGATGATGGAGGGATGATGGAGGGATGAGTGATGGATCATGGGATGGATGATGGAGGGATGATGGATGGATAGATGGATGATGGATCATGGATAGATGGATGAATGGATCATGGGATGGATGATGGAGGGATGATGGATCACGGGATGGATGATGGATGGATGGATGATGGACAATGGATGGATAGGTGATAGATGATGGATGGATTACAGATGATGGATGGGTGATGGATGGATGATGCATGCATAGATGGATGGACGGATGGGTGATGGATGGATGATGCATGCATGGATGCATGGACGGATGATGGATGGGTGATGGATGGATGATGCATGCATGGATGGATGAATGATGGATGGGTGGTTGATTGATGGATGGGTGATAAACAGCTTTGATGGATGATGGATGGATGGATGATGGATGGGTGGTTGATTGATGGATGGGTGATAAACAGCTGGATGGATGATGGATGGATGGATGATGGATGGGTGGTTGATTGATGGATGGGTGATAAACAGCTGGATGGATGATGGATGGATGGATGATGGCTGATGATGGACGGACGGGTGATGGATGGATGGATGATGGATGATGATGGACGGACGGGTGATGGATGACGGACCGAGCGGCTCCCCGCTCCCGTTGCTCACCGGACACGAGGTGCTTCTCGGAGAGCATGATCCTGGTGACGGGGCTGCGGTGCACGGTGAAGGTCTGGAAGAGCTGGGGCCCGGAGCCCAGCGTCTCGGGGTGCTGCACGATGACCCGCACCACGCCGGAGCTGGTGCCGTAGGCGATCTCGATCCAGTTCCCGCTCTCACCTGCCCACCAAGGGCTGCTCAGCCTCCTCCCAGTTCACCCCCAGTCCCAAACTGGGGCATGCCGAGGGCTCTTACTGGTCTTGGGGGTGAGGTAGACGCTGAGGGCGGTGACGGCGTCGTCGCCGGGGTCGCGGTACAGCTCTGTCACCAGGAGGTCGTTGTCCTTCATGCGCAGGGGGAACTTCTGCACGTCTGCCGGGGACGCGGCACCGGTGACGCCGGGGCCGCGGCGCCAAAGCCCCGGTGCCGCCGGCGGCGCCGGTGCTCACCCACGTAATAGATGGAGCCGTTGCTGCAGCCCAGGAGGAGGAAAGGTGCCGGCGGCGTCGTAGCTGGTGATGGGGACGACGTCCTGGATCTACGGCACGGATGCACAGGGAGCATCGGGGACCGTCCCGGTGCCGGCGCCACCGCTGCCAGCGCCGCCGCTCACCTGCCAGTGCTTGGTGACCGCGTTCCAGACACCGATGGTGCCACCGGGGCTGGTGGCGATGAGCTGGTTGCCCACGAAGAAGAGCGCCTCGGCCGGCACCCCAAGGTCGAAGACGCCTGCGCGGGGGCGAGCACCCATGGGTGCCGCGGGTACCGAACCGGCGCCACCGCGGCGATGGATGGTGATGGTGATGGGGGGGGGGGTTCTCACCGATCTCGCTGCCGTTGCCCATCGGCACGCAGGGCCCACAGGATGATCTCCCCCCCCCCGGCGGCCGCCACCATCTGCTCCCGCTCGCCGGGGCCCCCCCCGGCCAGGACCTTGGCGTTCAGCGCCGCGCGCTCGATGGCCCAATCCAGCCGCGGGCTGGGAGAAGACCTGGAGCCAGCCCGAGGTCTCCACCAGGCTGGGGGGGGTTAATGGGGGGTCCGGTTTAATGGGGGGGGTATGGGGTTCAATGGGGGTACTGGGTTTAATGGGGGTTCAGATTTAATGGGGGGATCAGGTTTAATGGGGGGTCCGGTTTAATGGGGGGGGTATGGGGTTCAATGAGGGTACTGGTTTAATGGGGGGTTCAGATTTTAATGGGGGGGTCTGGTTTAATGGGGGGGGTATGGGGTTCAATGGGGGTACTGGGTTTAATGGGGGTTCAGATTTAATGGGGGGGTCCAGTTTAATGGGGGGGGTATGGGGTTCAATGGGGGTACTGGGTTTAATGGGGGTTCAGATTTAATGGGGGGATCAGGTTTAATGGGGGGGTCTGGTTTAATGGGGGGGGATGGGGTTCAATGGGGGTACTGGGTTTAATGGGGGTTCAGATTTAATGGGGGGATCAGGTTTAATGGGGGGGTCTGGTTTAATGGGGGGGGATGGGGTTCAATGGGGGTACTGGGTTTAATGGGGGGTTCAGATTTAATGGGGGGGTTATGGGGTTCAATGGGGGGGACTGGGTTTAATGGGGGTTCAGATTTAATGGGGGGTCTGGTTTAATGGGGGGCTATGGGGTTCAATGGGGGGTACTGGGTTTAATGGGGGGGGTTTCAGATTTAATGGGGGATCAGGTTTAATGGGGGGGTCTGGTTTAATGAGGGGGGTATGGGGTTCAATGGGGGGACTGGGTCTAATTGGGGGTTCAGATTTAATGGGGGGATCAGGTTTAATGGGGGGTCCGGTTTAATGGGGGGGGTATGGGGTTCAATGGGGGGGGACTGGGTTTAATGGGGGTTCAGATTTAATGGGGGGGTCTGGTTTAATTGAGGGGGATATGGGGTTCAATGGGGGGACTGGGTTTAATGGGGGGCTCAGATATAATGAGGGGGTCTGGTTTAATGGGGGGGTCGGGTTTAATGGGGAGTCAGGTTTAATGGGGGGCTATGGGGTTCAATGGGGGGCACTGGGTTTAATTGGGGGTTCAGATTTAATGGGGGGGTCAGGTTTAATGGGGGGGTCTGGTTTAATGAGGGGGTATGGGGTTCAATGGGGGGGACTGGGTCTAATTGGGGGTTCAGATTTAATGGGGGGATCAGGTTTAATGGGGGGGTCTGGTTTAATGAGGGGGGTATGGGGTTCAATGGGGGGACTGGGTCTAATGGGGGGCTCAGATATAATGAGGGGGTCTGGTTTAATGGGGGGGTCTGGTTTAATGGGGGGGGTATGGGGTTCAATGGGGGTACTGGGTTTAATGGGGGGCTCAGATATAATGAGGGGGTCTGGTTTAATGGGGGGGTCGGGTTTAATGGGGAGTCAGGTTTAATGGGGGGCTATGGGGTTCAATGGGGGCACTGGGTTTAATTGGGGGTTCAGATTTAATGGGGGGGTCAGGTTTAATGGGGATTATCAGGTCTAATGGGGGGGTTGGGTTTAATGGGGGCTATCAGGTCTGATGGGGGGGTATGGGGTTCAATGGGGGCCATTGGTTTTAATGGGGGGGTATGGATTTTTAATGGTGGGTATTGGGTTTATTGGGGCGCAATGGGTTTTAATGGGGGGTATTGGGTTTAATGGGGGGTATTGGGTTTTAATGGGGGGTATTGGGTTTAATGGGGGATAATGGGTTTTAATGGGGGATAATGGGTTTAATGGGGGGTATTGGGTTTTAATGGGGGGTATTGGGTTTAGCGGGGGGGGGCACTGGTTTTAGCGGTGCCCTGAGGCCCCCCCTTACCGGTAGCACACCAGGAAGTGCGCGTAGGCCACGGCGATCCAGTTGTGGTGCCCGCACACGAGGCGCACGGCTCCGGCATCGCTCCCTAGGGATGCATGGATGGAATGGGGGGGGGGGGTGGTTCAACCGGTGCCACCGGGGCTGGGGTTGGGGGAACAGGGGGGTTCTCACCGGAGCCACCGGGGGGGGGCCGCTCGTCCGCTGCGGGCCCCAGGCTCGGGGGCAGAGTGTGGCTGCGGCGCACGGGCACCGGGAGCCGCGGAGCAGGATGAGGCCCTGCCAGGCTGTGCCGGCTGCGGCGGCGGGCAGGGAGAGCTGCGGGTATAGGGAATATGGGGGGTATGGGGGGTATAGGGGATATGGGGGGTATGGGGGGTATGGGGGATATGGGGGGTACAGGGGGTATGGGGGGGTACAGGGGGTATGGGGGGTACAGGGGGTATGGGGGGGTATAGGGGATATGGGGCGTATAGGGGGTATGGGGGATATAGGGGGTATGGGGGGGTATAGAGAGGTATGGAGGGCTGTGGAGGCATAGAGGGTATAGGGGATAGAGAGGATAGAGGGGGTATGAGGGATATTTGGGATATAGGAGGTATGGGGATATGAGGGATAAAGGGGATATAGGAGATATGGGGGTTATGGGGGATATGTGGAATATGGGGGGTATGGGGGGTATGGTGGATATAGGGGGTATGGGGGATATGGGGGGTATAGGGGATATAAGGGGCATGGGGGTATGGGGATATGGGGGTATAAGGGCATAGGGGGTATAGGAGTTATGGGGGATACAGGGGGTATAGGGGATATGTGTGTGGGGGTTCAGGTTTAAGGGGGTCACGTTGGGGATATGTGTGTGGGGGTTCAGGTTTAAGGGGGGTCACGTTTAAGGGGGGGGGTCACGTTTAAGGGGGGATCCCCGTTTTTACCTGGGGGGGGCAGGTACCCTGTGAACAGGACACAACCACACGAGGAACGCTCCAGCTCCTCCCGCAGCTGCAAGCGGCGAACTGCAGGGGGGGGGGGTAGAAACAGGGACCGGGTTAAACCCCCCCCCCCCCTCCCCGTATCCACATGGACCCTTCCCCACGGCGGCGGCCGGGGCCGGACCGCACCAAGCGGCACCTAGGGGGGTGATGCCGTAGAACTGCGCCTCGTGCAGCAGCAGCGCGGCGCTGACCCCCCCCGCCTCCAGCTCCTTGGTGCGCAGGAAGTTGAGGATGGGGGCGAAGACGGAGGGGTCCCGGTCAATGAAGATCTATGGGGAGGGGAGGGGGGAAAGGTGATGGGGACCCCCAACCAATGGGGGGGGGGGGCTGTTTGGGGGGGGGGGGGGTGTCTCACCGCTCCGGTCTCATCCTTTAAGGTGGAGATGCGGCCGCTCAGGAGGCTGGGGGGGGTAAAAGGGGGGTTAATGAGGGGGGGTTAATGGGGGGGGTAATGAGGGGGGTCCCGATGTCGTCGTCCCCCCCCCCCAACAGCGATGGGATCGCCCCCTCCATCACCTGGAGAAGAAGGAATCCGGGATCCAGGTGAGGGTCTGGCGGGAGGTGCTGAACCTGGAGGGGGGGGGGGGGGGGGAGTTAGGTTCGGGGGGGGTCCGGAGGGGTTCGGGGGTCCCGGAAGGGTCCGGAGGGGTCCCGGAGGTGTTCGGGTGGGTTCGGAGCGCTCTGGGGGGGATCGGAGGGGACCCAGAGAGGTTCGGGAGTTTCCGGAAGCGTTCGGGGGGTCCCGGCGGGGATTGGAGGTGTCCCGGAGGGGCTCGGTGGGGTTCCAGAGGAGTTCGGGGGGTTCCGGAGGGGTTCGGGAGGTTCCGGAGGGGCTCGGGGGGTCCCGGCGGGGATTGGAGGGGTCCCGGAGGGGTTCGGGTGCTTCCGGAGGGGTTCGGGGGGTCCGGAGGGGCTCGGGGGGTTCTGGGGGGCTCGGGGGGCTCCGGAGGGGTTCGGGTGTTTCCGGAGGGGCTCGGGGAGCTCCGGAGGGGTTCGGGGGGTCCCGGAAGGGTTCGGGTGTTTCCGGAGGGGCTCGGGGGGGCTCCGGAGGGGTTCGGGGGGTTCCGGAGGGGCTCAGGGGGGGTCCCGAAGGGGCTCGGGTGTTTCCGGAGGGGTTCGGGTGTTTCCGGACGCACCTTTTGCCTCCCACGTTGAGGTGCACGACCTCAGCCCCCGGCACGGCCGCCATAGCGGCGCGGCACTTCCGCCTCCGCCCCCGAGCTCCTCATTGGTCCGCCCGCGCTGCAGCCCCGCCCTCCGCCGCTCGCTATTGGTCCGTTTGAAGGCGCGCCCGCCCCCCCCTTCCCCGCTCAGAGCCTGCGCGCGCATTGGTCAGTCAGGAAAAGGGGGCGGGGCTTTCATCCCTGAGACCCCTCCCCTTCTTAAAGGGGCAGCAGCATCACTTGAACGTCGTCCCCCCCAGGCCCATAACTGCCCCCAATGCCCCCCCAGCCCTACAACTGCCCCCTCCCAGCCCCACAAGTGCTCCCAATGCCCCCACAACCCCACAACCGCCCCCCCAGACCCACAACCGCCCCCAATGCCCCCCCCAACCCCACAACTACCCCCGATCCCTCTTCCAGCCCCACAACCGCCACCCCAGTCCCACAATTGCCCCCCTGCCCCCCCAACCGCACAAGTGCCCCCAATGCCCCCCCCAGCCCCACAACTTCCCCCTCCCAGCACCACAAGTGCCCCCAATGCCCCCCCCAGCCCCACAACTTCCCCCTCCCAGCACCACAAGTGCCCCCAATGCCCCCCCCCAGCCCCACAACTTCCCCCTCCCAGCACCACAAGTGCTCCCAATGCCCCCCCCAGCCCCACAACTTCCCCCTCCCAGCACCACAAGTGCCCCCAATGCCCTCCCCCAGCCCCACAACTGCCCCAATGCCCCCCCCCCCCCCCCAGCCCCACACATTGAAGGGGGGCAGGTTCCATCCTGCTCCTTTATTGGCGGTGCTGGGGGTGCAGGGGGGGTTCATTACATTTATACAGTCACAGCGAGCGCGTGGGCCTGGGGGGAGGGGCCCAGATTTGGGGGGGGGGGGGGGGGGGGCAAGTGCTTGGTGGGGGGCGGGGATGGGATTTTGGGGTTATTTTCCTGCTTTTTGGTACATTCTATACAAATACAACCGCTGCCCCTCCCCCCCATGGCTCTGTGTGTGCCCCCCCCCCCCATTTGGGGTGCCCCAAGGTGATGGGGGGACCCCCCCCTATGGCTTGTGCATGGGAAAAGGGGGCCCTGGGATACGGGGGGGGGAGGGTGATGAGGAATTGAGGGGGGGCACACCCCATTTCCAACCCCCCCAGCCCCATGGGTCACAAAGGGGGGATCCCCAACCCCCCCCCCCAGACCCTATTTGGGGGTCCCTATGAGGGGTTCCCTATGGGGTGTCCTTATGGGGTGTCCCCATGGGGGGGTCCCTATGGGGGTTCCCTATGAGGGGTTCCCTATGGGGAGGTCCCTATGAGGGGGGGTCCCTATGGGGGTTCCCTATGGGGTGTCCCTATGGGGTGTCCCCATGGGGGTGTTCTTATGGGGGGTGTCCCCATGGGGGGTCCCTATGGAGGTGTCCCTATGGGGTTGTCCCCATGGGGGGTCCCTATGGAGGTGTCCCTATGGGGTGTCCCTATAGGGGGTGTCTCCATGGGGGTGTCCCTATGGGGTGTCCCTATAGGGGGTGTCCCCATGGGGGTGTCCCTATGGGGTGTCCCTATGGGGGTGTCCCCATGGGGGTGTCCCTATGGGGTGTCCCTATGGGGTGTCCTTATAGGGGGTGTCTCCATGGGGGTGTCCCTATGGGGTGTCCCTATAGGGGGTGTCCCCATGGGGGTGTCCCTATGGGGGTTCCCTATGGAGGTGTCCTTATAGGGGGTGTCTCCATGGGGGTGTCCCTATGGGGTGTCCCTATAGGGGGTGTCTCCATGGGGGTGTCCCTATGGGGTGTCCCCATGGGGGTGTTCTTATGGGGGGTGTCCCCATGGGGGGGTCCCTATGGAGGTGTCCCTATGGGGTTGTCCCCATGGGGGGTCCCTATGGAGGTGTCCCTATGGGGTGTCCCTATAGGGGGTGTCTCCATGGGGGTGTCCCTATGGGGTGTCCCTATAGGGGGTGTCCCCATGGGGGTGTCCCTATGGGGTGTCCCTATGGGGTTGTCCCCATGGGGGGTCCCTATGGAGGTGTCCCTATGGGGTGTCCCTATAGGGGGTGTCTCCATGGGGGTGTCCCTATGGGGTGTCCCTATAGGGGGTGTCCCCCATGGGGGTGTCCCTATGGGGTGTCCCTATGGGGTTGTCCCCATGGGGGGTCCCTATGGAGGTGTCCCTATGGGGTGTCCCTATAGGGGGTGTCCCCATGGGGGTGTCCCTATGGGGTGTCCCTATGGGGTGTCCCTATGGGGTTGTCCCCATGGGGGGTCCCTATGGAGGTGTCCCTATGGGGTGTCCCTATAGGGGGTGTCCCCATGGGGGTGTCCCTATGGGGTGTCCCTATGGGGGGGTCACTTCCGCCGCCCGGAGGCGCTGGGGCGCCGCTCGCCCTCCCGCCGGGGGGCGCCCTCGTCGGTGGAGGAGGTGGTGAGCGCCTGGTGCCAGCGCGCCACCTCCTGGTGCTCCTGGGTACTGGCGGCCAGGGCGCGCAGCCAGGCCCGCATCTCCTCCTGCGGGAGAGAGCGGGGACGGGAAACGGGAACGGGAAACGGGAACGGGAATGGGAACGGGAATGGGAAACGGGAACGGGGAAACGGGAACGGGGAAACGGGAATGGGAAACGGGAACGGGGAAACGGGAACGGGGAAACGGGAATGGGAAAGGGGGAAAGGGGAAACGGGAAAGGGGAAACGGGAACGGGGATGGGAAAGGGGAAACGGGAAAGGGGAATGGGGATGGGGACGGGGACGGGGATGGGGAAAGGGGAAACGGGAACGGGGATGGGAACGGGAACAGGGATGGGGATGGGAACGGGGACGGGGATGGGGAAAAGGGAAAGGGGAAACAGGAATGGGAAAGGGGAACGGGGATGGGAAACGGGAACGGGGAATGGGGACGGGGATGGGGAAAGGGGAAACGGGAACGGGGATAGGAACGGGGACGGGGGTGGGGAAAGGGGAAAGGTGAACGGGGAAACGGGAACGGGGATAGGAACGGGGACGGGGTGGGGAAAGGGGAAAGGTGAACGGGGAAATGGGAACGGGGACGGGAACAGGAACAGGGATGGGGATGGGAACGGGGACGGGGATGGGGAAAAGGGAAAGGGGAAACGGGAATGAGAAAGGGGAAATGGGGATGGGGGCGGGAACGGGAACAGGGAAAGGGGACGGGGATGGGGAAAGGGGGAGGGAAACGGGAACGGGGACGGGAACGGGGAAACGGGGAGGGAACAGGGAAACGGGGAGGGAACAGGAAAGGGAACAGGAAGGGGGATGGGGACGGGAACGGGAGAGGGGAAGGGGAAAGCGGATGGGGATGGGAATGGGGATGGGGAAAGGGAGAGGGAAACAGGGAAAGGGATACAAAAATGGGGTCAGAGACACCAAAAATGGTGAAAGAGGCACAAAAATGGGGTCAGAGACACCAAAAATGGTGAAAGAGGCACAAAAATGGGGTCAGAGGCACAAAAAATGGTGAAAGAGGCACAAAAATGGGGTCAGAGACACCAAAAATGGTGAAAGAGGCACAAAAATGGGGTCAGAGACACAAAAATTGGTGAAAGAGGCACAAAAATGGGGTCAGAGGCACAAAAATGGGGTCAGAGGCACAAAAAATGGTGAAAGAGGCACAAAAATGGGGCCAGAGACACAAAAAATGGTGAAAGAGGCACAAAAATGGGGTCAGAGACACCAAAAATGGTGAAAGAGGCACAAAAATGGGGTCAGAGGCACAAAAAATGGTGAAAGAGGCACAAAAATGGGGTCAGAGGCACAAAAATGGGGTCAGAGGCACAAAAAATGGTGAAAGAGAAAAATGGTGAAAGAGGGAGAAAAAGGGTGAAAGAGGCACAAAAATGGGGTCAGAGACACACAACAGGGGTCAGGGACACCAAAAACGATGAAAGAGGCACAAAAATGGGGTCAGAGATACCAAAAATGGTGAAAGAGGCACAAAAACAGTGAAAGAGGCATGAAAATGGGATCAGAGACAAAAATCCGGGGTCAGAGACACCAAAACTGGGGTCAGGGACACCAAAACCGGGGTCAGAGACACCAAAAACGGGGTCAGAGACACCAAAAACGGTGTCAGAGACACCAAAACCGGGGTCAGGGACACCAAAAACGGGGTCAGGGACACCAAAAACAGGGTTAGAGACACCAAAACCGGGGTCAGGGACACCAAAACCGGGGTCAGGGACACCAAAACCGGGGTCAGAGACACCAAAAACGGGGTCAGGAACACCAAAAACGGGGTCAGGGACACCAAAAACGGGGTCAGAGACACCAAAAACGGGGTCAGGGACACCAAAAACGGGGTCAGAGACACCAAAAACGGGGTCAGGAACACCAAAAACAGGGTTAGAGACACCAAAACCGGGGTCAGGAACACCAAAAACAGGGTTAGAGACACCAAAACCGGGGTCAGGAACACCAAAACCGGGGTCAGGAACACCAAAACCGGGGTCAGGGACACCAAAAACGGGGTCAGGGACACCAAAAACGGGGTCAGGGACACCAAAAACGGTCTCAGGGACACAAAAGCAGTGTCAGAGACCCCAGAAATGGTGACAGAGACCCCCAAAAGTGTGAAAGAGACCCCAAAATGGCATCAGAGAGACCAAAAATGATGGAAGAGACCCCAAACCACCATCGGAGACCCCAAAACCGGTGTCAGAGACACCACAACAGCACCAGAAACACCAAAAGCACCATCGGAGACCCCAAAACCGGTGTCAGAGACACCAAAACAGCACCAGAAACACCAAAACCACCATCGGAGACCCCAAAACCGGTGTCAGAGACACCAAAACAGCACCAGAAACACCAAAACCACCATCGGAGACCCCAAAACCGGTGTCAGAGACACCAAAACAGCACCAGAAACACCAAAACCACCATCAGAGACCCCAAAACCGGTGTCAGAGACACCAAAACAGCACCAGAAACACCAAAACCACCATCAGAGACCCCAAAACCGCTGTCAGAGACACCAAAACAGCACCAGAAACACCAAAACCACCATCGGAGACCCCAAAACCAGTTTCAGAGACACCAAAACAGCACCAGAAACACCAAAACCACCATCA